TCCCAGCCCTTTTCCCGGCTCGGGGCCTCCTTGGTCACCCCATTTCTCCAGCCCAGAGGAGGGCAGTGCATGGCCTCGCCTGGGATTCCCTGAGCGTCCCAAATCACCCCTCCAGAGTGGGATGATGAGACCACATCCCCCAGCAAGGAAAAGCTGCCAGATGCCATATGAGAGCCCCAAGGTGGTGGTCCAAATTAGCCCCAAGCATGGGAGATGAACGCAATTACAAACCCTACACAGAGATCAGGCCAGGCTTCCCTCTGCACTACTACTATCTGTAGTAACCATGGGTGTGTGTATACACGCAGGTGTGCATGCCCAACAACCAAACCAGCCCCAAGCACAGGGGATGAACCCAATCACCAAATCCTATAGAGAGACCAGGCCAGGCTTCCCTCCGCACTACTACTTGTAGTAACCACGAGTCTGTGTGTGCACACAGGTGTGCATGCCCAAAACCAAACCAGCCCCAAGCGTGGGGGATGAACCCAATTACCAAACCCTACACAGACAGCAGGCCAGATTTTCCTCTGCACTACTACTTGTAGTAACCAGGGCTGTGTGTGTGCATGCAGGTGTGCATGCCCAGAGCAGCAAACGCTGCCCATCTCTGCCCATCTCTGAGCTGCATTTCTGCCCCCTTGTCTCTGTTTTGCTGCTGTTGCTGCCTGCCTGACACCTACGTGCCCTGGATGAGCTGCTGCCTTGCTAATGAGCTGCAGCATCTCGCTCGGGGTCCTGCTCACCCTCGGAGCACAGGGACTCTCCAGGCTCGTGTGCTTAGCTCAGCCCCACGGTTTCAATCCCTGCCAAGAGAAATGGAAGAATCTGGTGCAGCCAGGCCTGGAAAAAACAGCGAGGACAGTCTGTGGTTAACCCTTCCCGTGCTGCTCCTCTCCTCCTGCCTTCCCACGCACAGGGGAGCCCTCAGGATTCACAGCCCTGCTTCCCACAGCCCAGTCCATCCGCGTGTCCCCACCTCGGGGGAAAAAGCAGCTTTTCTCGTGAGATTGCCCAGAATACTCAGGGAGGGAGCATTCCCACGGCACTTGAATGCGTGCCCCCTTTGATGGAGGGAGGGCAAAGGGCAGAGATCCGGGAAAAGAAAAGAAAATCATTAAAAAAAAAAAAAAAAGAAGAAGAGAGAGAGAAAACAGAGGAAGAAAAAAAAAAATTAAAGCAATTCAGGCAGGAGCTTTCCTCAGCCTCTATAAAATACAGTTCACGTTTCCTGCGAGCCTGGGGCGCCGATCACATTCGACGTGAGGTGCTTTAGCCAGCCCCGGTGTAAATTCCGGAGCCTCGCATCTGCACGGCGTGATGGGAAAAAGCTTAAGAGGGGCCCGGGGAGCTGCAGAGGAGGCGGCCGAGCCTCTCTGGCTACCGCAGGGGCTGCGGATGCACAGACATTCCAAGGCTATTTGTGAAGGTGAAATGGTCTGTAAAGATTCCAGGACACCATGTGGCAGGGTGGCGAGCGGGACTTCTCCTCCGCTGTTTGCACAGCAGCGCTGCCGGGCTGCAGGGAGCGGTGTGCGCCGAATGCCTCGCGGTGATTAGAGCATCTGCAAATTCCAGCTTAATACGCGGCATAATGAGACTCGGAGCGTGGTTAGCCCGCAGCCATCCCCCGCCACAGTAGGGCTGGTTCACCTTCTCCCGGAGGATGCTCACCCCGAGCCCGGGCCATGGGACCGAGCTCCGCGGCAGGCACGGGGCATTTGCACTTTGGCTCATGCACAATGAGGCTGTGCACACCAGCCAGGTTCCTTCTGCAGCACCCTGAGCCACAGCCAGCCCACACAGAGCTCCTGCGCCCTATCCCAAACCCTGGGTCAGCTCCCCAGGCCGGGAGAGCCCATCTGGTGTGTGCCACCCATCAGGGAAAGAGGTGCTGGGAGTGCCCAGGCTGCACCAGGAGCCGTGGTTTTGTTTGCCAAGAGCTTGGGTTTGTCTGACAGGGAGTGTGACCCACACATGGGGTGAGCCTTGGTAAGAAGGGGAGTGTGGGGGTGATGGCAGTGGGTGTGCACACAGATCCATGCTCTGAGCTCTCCCCTCTATCCCAGTGACCCCAGCTCACACAGGTCCTGCTGCCCTGCTTAATGCCTCCTGTTTCCTGGCAGCCAGGAATGTGCCAAACATTGCCAGCCTGAGATGGAGAGAGCTGCTGGGCAGTGCCAGAAGGTGCCCAGTGCAGGGGGGCTGACATGAGGGTGTGATGGGGTCCTGTGCTTGCTGTGAAGCTCAGGGAAATCCCTGGGGTGGGTCTGCATTGGGACAGGAGCAGCCCAGAGACTGCCCAGGGCCCTGGGGCAGGGTGATGAATACGTGCATGTGTGATGAGTGCATGCATGTGCGTGTTCACATGTGCAGGGGTGCACTGCGTGTGTGTGCATGTGGAAGTTGTGTGCAGGCACCTTGTACCCTGGAATGCACACCCTGTGTGTGTCTGTGTGTGTGTCTGTGTATCCGTGTGTCTGTGTGTGTGTGTGTTCACAGGCTGTGT